CATTGTTTTAGCCTGAGAGGGATCGCCATAGGAAGCTCTAAGACCACGACACACAGAATCACTGAAAGCATTTTTTTTTAACCCTCACCCTAGGATATTTTTCCATTGATTTTCAAAGAGAGTGGAAGAGAGAGGGAAAGACAGAGAGAAATATTTATATAAGAGAAATACATCGATTGGGCCAAAACCGGTTTGGCTCAGTGGATAGAGCGCTGGTCTGTAGACTGAATCCCAGGTTCAATTCCAGTCAAGGGCATGTATAATGGTTGCGGGCACATCCCCAGTAGGAAGAATGCAGGAGGCGGCTGGTCAATATTTCTCTCTCATCGATGTTTCTAGCTCTCTATCTCTCTCCCTTCCTCTCTGTGAAAAAAAACAATAAAATATATTTTAAAAAAATAAATGCATCGGCTGATTGCTTCCTGCACACGCCTCAATCAGGGCCTGGGCCGGGGAGGAGCCTGCAACCAACAGAAAACCTGGGGACCTTGAGGTCTGCAGACCAATGCTGAAAGCATTTTAGATCGAGACATTTCAGCATGGTCTCTAGTTAGCTAGCACTGGATCCACAGCTCCCTGAACTCAATTAGACAATTTTTGAAGCTGACTGACTTCAAAAGGTTTCCCAAGTGACTAGAAGCTTCCAGGTCTCAACTTTCCTTAACAATCCCGAGGATTCATCCTACACCTGACACAGCAAGATAGGTGAACCAAAACAAACCAGAGAAGCTGGTACGTTTCTTTCATTTTTCTTTTTCCCCCTGAGATATGACTGCCAACGTTTAGTGGCAGAGGCTTCTGGGCTAAGCCCCGAGGATGCCAGGGTTCCCAAACCTTGTAACTTGGCCTGTCAGGGTCTGGCTCAGGAGGGTCCTAGTGAGGGGCCAGCAAGCCCCCTGCCCATGCCCTCCCTGGGGGATGCTGCAGCCAACTTCCCCCCCACTAGACCCTGAGGTCCCACAACACCCTGTGTCCCTTCCTCAGAGCCCATGGGACAATACAGAGGTTATGCACACAGTGTTTCTGTGAAAAGGAAAGGGAAATGAGCTAAATACCTGTCAGGCCCATTCATTGCCCAACTAAAGAGAATTCTTTGTATTGAGCCAATCAGACAGAAATGGGACCCAGGAGAGTGGTGCATGAGCTAGGAAGTGATGACTGGCAGGCCCATTCTGGCATTGAACAGAGGAAGCCTCTGCCAAATAAACAGAAGTATGGGCAAGAGCAGGCTAGGCGACAGTCCTATCCCGGTAGCCTTGTTGTGTTTGGAATTTTTTTTTTTTTTTTTTTTAGTGTTGTTGTTTTTTAATTGACTTTAGAGAGAGGAAGAGGGAGAAGAAGAGAGAGGGAGTGAGGGAAAGAGGGAGAGGAGGAGAGAAGGAGAGAGAGGGAGGGAGAGAGAGACAGGGAAAGGGAGGGAGGGAGAGAGAGAGAGGGAGGGAGAGAAGAAGAGGAAGGTAGGGAGAGGGAGAGGGAGCGAGAGAGGGAGAGGGAGGAGGGACAGGGAGAGAAACAGGCATTGATTTGTAGTTCCACCTATTTATGCACTTATTGGTTGATTCTTGTGTGTTCCCTAGTTGGGGATCAAACCTGAAATCTTGGCGTACCTAGTCGATGCTCTAACCCGTGGTCATAAAATCATTAGTCAACAGAGCCAAATATCAACAGTACAATGATTAAAATTTCTTTTGAGAGCCAAATTTTTTAAACTTAAATGTCTTCTAATGCCACTTCTTCAAAATACCACTCGCCCAGGCCGTGGTATTTTGTGGAAGAGCCACACTCAAGGGGCCAAAGAGCCACATATGGCTCTCGAGCCGCGGTTTGCTGACCCCTGCTCTAATCAACTGAGCTGTCCAGCCAGCCAGGGCCAGGGTTTTGCTTTGTTTTGTTTTGTTTTATATGCCACCAAAGGGCCATGATAACAATAACATCAGCCAACAGTCTTTTATTATCAGTAGGAGATATTCATAATACCTAATGGTGTGGGAAGACACCCTTGACAGGTGCCACACCATCCTAGCTGGACAGTTTGAGCAATAATATTTGGCTGCACAAAGCACCATGTGCCTTCCCCCAAAAGTGCACAACCTGGCCACACACTGACCTTTCGCTTCAAAGGCTCGTTCAGTGGGACTAACTGCATTTACAAAATTTCTTTCAAAACCATGAAGCGATGTCAGTATTTTAAAAATATTTTCCCCATTCTCCAAGATTATTTTTCTGTCTATGGTTATTCTCCGGCCAATTTATCTTCCTGCTGTTGCCATAGATAAAACTATTTTTAGAGCACAACTGCTTGGGAGGCAGATTGTTTTAACCATTTTACAACCCCTGTTGTTGGCCTCCATACATGCCTCTTAGAGCTTTGTTTATCAGCTGACAGGAATTACTCTCCCACCTTCAGTTGTTGTTTTCTTCCTTGAAAGATGATTTCAGATAAGGAGGAAGTATAAATTGCAGGTGGCAGCCACTCAATGAAGGGTAACTGGTGGCAGTCTGGTCTGGCCACACCACCCCTGGCAGCTGACTCAGAGAACTCCCTGCTCAGTGTCAGCTGTCACCACCATTTCTGGTTGACTTGAATGTCTACACCAACACAGCCTGGCTCCCCTGTAGCCCCTAACTTGGTAAGAAAACAGAAATGCTATTTTAATGGCCAACGTTCCTGTTCAAAACATCACTTGTCCAATATCAGAAAGGAAAGACAGAATAGTGCAAAGTTTATTGAAAAACTTTCAACTTCAAGAGCACATTTCATGATTACTTGTTTGGTCTACAATTTTCTTTTCAAGACAGTGTGCTCCTGTTTTTCAAAAAAAAAAATAATAATAATTGTTTTGCTATAAAGCAGGTCCAACATGCCACTGCTATACAGTGTATGTCAAAAGAGTTCCATTCAGAAGAGTGATAGTTCCTCCTTTCAGCATCCCAGAAATGTCAATGGCCCTGCACACTCCTCCTCATCCTGCAAGACTAAACTCAAATGTCCCCTGCAGAGGGAGGCCTTGCTCAGATGCTTCCAGAAAGTCTGTCCTTGCAGCTTCCACTGGACTTATCAACACTCAACCCCACTGGGCAACCATCACACTGTATGATGGCAGTCTGTGACAGTTGGTCTCCACAGGTAGAGTGAACCCAGTGTCTGGCCCTGAATCACACAGAGGAGGTCTATAAATGTTGTTTAATAAACCAATCAAGCATCAATCAAAAGATCACAGCCTTTCATTTCACACACACACACACACACACACACACACACACACACATACACACATACTACTCATGACATTTGCAAATCATGAACAGAGGTGGAAATCATAAAGGAAATCCTAGAACCTTTAGATATCTTTTCAAAACAAGTACTCATGTGCTCAGAACAGCCCTGCATGGTTTGAATCAGGGCCCTGACCCCTTCTCTCCAAATTATTCAGGTTGTCTCATTCAAAAGGCAGAGTCTCCTCAATACTCTGTCCACTGTGCCAGACACCAAAACACATAGAACCAAAGAAATTCTTGAAACTAAATTTTGAGAAAACATCTTCAGAAAGATTATATTGATACTTGTCATGTTTGCATCCACCCACATTATCACTCCAATCAGCTCCCACCTCTGGGGAGGGGCGGGAGGGGAGGAGGGAGAAGGGAGAGAGACTTAGACAATGTAACTCATGCAATATGGTTCACTCATGACTGTCCTGGCTCAGGGAAAGCCTTTCAGTGACTCTATTCTTTCTCAATCGTAACTGTGTTCCAACTGTGAAGGATTTCCACAGAAAAAAAGGCAAATCCCCATCTTGGATAAGGCCGGGACTGCAGTTGGAAACCCCCTTGGACTTCATGGGGATCATGCTTTATGAAGCTAATGGCTGAACAACCAGAACTGGGTCAATCCTAACTGTCCAGTGTATGAATACATTCATGCGCAAATGGGTGTGTGCACACACACACTCACACATCTGCACACACAGCCAGAACTCATCACTTGGTCCACACCCAAAAGTAACACAACAGAGCTAAAGAAAGACAACATAAGGCAACTGCTAGGCACTCAGCTGAAGCATATCCAAAGCAATCATGCATGTCTACAAGACTTGACCACAATTAGATACCAAGGTGGCCCTGACTTGGACTTAATCACCCACTTAGCTAAACCCTGGGGAAACACACCAGAGAGATGTCTCAACCATGGAAAAGAGGCACCAAATAATATATCACTGAATATCACGATGAATAGATGAACTGAGAAGCTCAAGCCAAGGCCCTGGCAGTGTGCTCTGAGGTGCTGATCTGGAAGAGAAAGATGCAACCTGCATGTGCCTAGCATTTCTTTCCCAGAGCACCTGGAGAGGTGAGAAAAGATGCAAAAAAGGTCGCAGAGTTACAAAGCAACGTCCAAAGGGCAACCTCCCTGGAGATGGTGCCCACTGCTACCAGGGCTGCTTCTGCTGCCACGGTGCTCATATTTAAATCGGAAAGAAGAAAGTGGTTTGCATAAATCCACGTCACAGGCTACTGGGCTCCAGCGGCTGGCCCCAACTTTGTCGGGTGAAGACTACCTGGTATGGCTAAGCGCACGCCACCAGCAAGCGGTGTTATTCTATCACCACTGGGGACCAGAGACCCTTTTCCAATCGCTGGAAGGAGAGAAGTTTGGGTGTCAAAGACTTTCTTTACCTCTGAGTCCCACGGTAGGGACACTGCAGAAATGCCCCCCTTGCTTTTTTTTAAATGGTGCCAATAAACTTGGCTTGGCAGGGGAGTCCGGAAAGAAAGGAAATCTCTGGGAATTCCAGAAAGTGCCCTAAACGCTTCCGCCCCCAGGCGTCCAGAGGAAGGGTCAAGGCCGGATCTGAAGCTGCATCCGAAGACGGCTGAGCCAGGGTGGGGCGTCGGGGCCAGGGACCGGCTCCCGCGCGCCCCCTTCCCCGGACCCCTCCTGCCTGCGGGCGGCTGGAGCGGCGAAGCAGGACCTCGGCGGCTTCCTCCCAGCTACTCACCCTCCGGCTGGGTGTCCCGGGCGCCCTGGTGCCGCCGCCAGAGAGCAGGGTGACGGTGGACGTGGAGCGCAGCATCCCGCAGGGCAGCGGACGCGGGCTCCGGGCGGCGCTGCTCCAGGCGGACTGAGCGCCGTCCCGCCTGCCTGGGGGCGCCGCCGGCCAGTGGCCACTGCGGCGGGGCGCGGCGGCGGGGCGGGGCGGGAACGGCGAGCAGGGGCGGGGCCGGGCCCGGGGGCGGGGCCGTTGGGGCTAGAGAGCCCTCGCCTTACCCGTCAGGCTGCATTTTCTCCCAAGGGGGCAGAAGGCCAAAGTTGAAATGCATTCTACCCCTAAGGCGTTGTGCGTCCTCCCTGGACGCCCTGCTGTCTGCGGTGGCAAGGTCCACCTGTCCCTGCATCCTCAGATGCTCTGAAGGCCCACTCCCACCCTGGCTGCCCCAGGAGGCTCTGCCCTGTCGGGGAGGGGGGGGGGCGGTCGAGGGGGGGGGGGAGGCGCCAGGACCCTCACCCCAAGTCATTCATTCAGTATGTAATTGAGTGCCTACCATGTGTCCCTCCCAGCAGCCTGCAATCCACTGTCCCCTGTCCTCACGGAGTTTGCAGTCCGGTGGGGACACAGAGAGGGCAGGTGTTGGTAATTTGGTGGAAGAGGAGATGCCACAGGGAGCGCTCCGCCTGGCCTGAGGTGTTGGCCTGTGTTGGAGACACCCCCAAGAGGAGCGGATGACTAAGTGAAGACCTGAAATACAAGTAGGATAGAGTGTTCACCACAAACGGCTCCTGTTTAATATTCAGCGATGACTGTGGGCCCTTGTCAGGTGTTGCCACAATCAGTCTCCATAGCCAGCCTTTGAGGTAGGCACTGTTATTAGCCTGCACCCCCATTATGCAGCTGAGGATATTGACTCATCAGGAGGTTGAGTAACAACACAGCAGGGGCCCCACTGGCTGGTAAGTGGCAAAGCTAGGATGGACTCCTAGGAGTGACCCTGGGGCCTTGCTTGTTCACTACGCTGCCCTCCCTCCCCCAACAGAGGAAGGAGTTCCAGGCCAAAGAATGGACCTGTGCAAAGATGGATAGAAGGCAAGAGAAGGTAGGGCCTATTTTTGAGGAACTGAAAATATCCCAGTGTAAGGGGCTAATGGTAGAGAGGCAGCAGAAGGGAGTCCAGACAGATCATGAAGAACCTGATGTGCTTTTCTGCAAAGACAATCTCTTTCTACTCACCCTTCAAAGCCCAGATCAAACGCTGCCTCCCCACCAAGCTCTCCAGGACCCTCCTGCCCTGCACACCCAACCTCATGAACCCAGCAGCTCTTAGAGGTGTGTGTGTGTGTGTCCTTCCCCAATGGTGAGCTGCTGGACCATTCTCAACCTCCAGTGTGGCACCAATATGGAAGATACTCAATGTTGCTGGACAGACACTCGCTCCTTCTGCAGATGAGGAAGTGAGGCCATCATCACCACGGCCGCTGTGCCTGCATTCTAAGTGCTTCATAAGCATTTTCTCACCAATTCTCACCGTGACCCAACAAGGTGGATGCTTTTCCATTTGCAAATGAGGGAACTGAGGCCCAGGCACATTAGGATACTTGGTGAAGTACTGGGACTAAACCTCTGGCCTTCTAATTGCAGGTCTACTGCTTTTTACCGCACTTCTCCCTGCGTCCTCTCACCCAACCCTTCTTCTAAAAAGAGGTTTCTTTCTAATGGACTTCCATGTAGCCGCTACTCGTGGGAGACTTCAGCAAGACTAAAATGTGGGTCTGCTTTCAATAACCTGCGGTCAAAAGGTGGCTGTTGAAAGCCAACATGGGTTAGAAAGATCTGCATGGCTACCTCAGCAGAAAAAGGCTAGTGATTGTTGTTGTTTTGTTACATTGCCCTGAGGAGAAAGGAAATGGGCTGCTGTTCAGACAGAGTCAAAATAGCATGGCATCATCCCTGTTTGTTTACGTTATGGCAACCACCCAAGTGACCACCCAAGACGGAGCCAGCTTCTGAGAGGAAGTGTGGCCCATGGACTCATTTCTCCTCCATCTACCCAAGTCTTTTTCATATGGTTAACATAATACACTGTGTTGTGGTGCATTGCAAAAGCAGCAGGCTGCACACCTGCGTGTGAGCTCTTTGTGGAAACTGGATCTTGTTTACTCCTCTTCCTGCCAGTACTCAGCATGGTAATTGGCATGTTGTAAGGGCACAGTAAGTGTTGAAGGAATGAAGAAATGGTGTTACAGAGCAATATTTCAACTCACTTATAATCAAGCAATACAGAAACCAAGATCCTTCTCAACCCAGCTTCTAGGGGGGTGAGGGTCTCCAAGCAGTTTGCCAGCTGAAGCAGCCTGAGCCCCAGGATGGTCCCAGCCAGGAAAGTTCCTCATGCCGGCTGTCACTAAGGCCTGTGGGTGGCGGGATCGGACAGATGCTGGGCTCCGGCTTATGCCACAGCCCCTCTCTGCCAGGCCAACGCTTAAGGTACTACACGAGAGAGAAGACTAGACAGGAGGAGAAGGGGAAAATGGAAAGATACCGGTAAGTAGGGATTGAGAAATCATTGAAAAGATGGGTCCAGAATGAAAAGGAAAAGTCAGAAATGAAGTTGTAGCCACAGGTTTCTATGAACAGCTCTGGGGGAAGATAAAAAGGAAGCACTGACTCTTCGAAAGAGGAATCAAAAGCTAAGCACTTCTAACCAGGCCAGAGTCCTCCACGACCCACAGAAATGAAGGTTGGAAGGGTCAGACTTGACAGGGACAGGGACAGGGCTCTGGTGTGGCAGGCCACCCTATTCCCCTTCCACATTGTCCTCGTCTACTCCGGAACCCCCGTGAGCACTGGTGACAGGATCGCCACTGTTTGGGCTGGAGGCACAGGAGCACTGACAGAACTATCTCCGCTGCCATCCCTTTGCATCCACAGCAACAGCCACGTATTCCTGAGAGCGGTCCTACATCTCCGGCTAAAGCACAGGTCTGCAGACAATCCTAGAGGTCTGTCTAAATGCCCTTCTTTTTCTTGAATTCAATCACTGTTACACCTCCTTCTCTCGCCCAATCCTTATTTCGCTCTCATATCCTCCCACCGTCTGCCTGTGAAATTGGTGCTCTCTGCTGAGGCCCCTCTAGGTTCTCCATTGGCGTCTTTAGTTGACAGGCTTATGATGGGACCCATTTCTCCAGCAAAGTCTGAACCGGCAAAGACTATCATTATTTCTTAGCAGAAACACTCAGGAACCGAGTTGCTGAACAAGGACCCAGAGTAGGTGAGCCCAAGCAATGCCAGCCTTCCTGTTATTCGTGCCCTCTTCGCTCTTACATTTCTGAGGCTTCCCGTTTCTTCTTCTCCATTCAGCTGTCACAACGTCGCAAAGCCCTGGCAGACTCTCCTGCTCTGAATGTCAGAGACCAGATTTTCACAGTGAAAAAAGGACACATTTCCAACCCAAGGACAAGGGTGTTGAATTACAAAGCTGCTTTGGATAAAGTAGAACAAGAAGCACCCCGTATTCACGGGGTGTCTGAGAAGCAGAGAACAGGGCCTAGAGATAAGGAAAGCAGACTGAGAGGAACCCTATCCCTTGGCCAAGCCACCCAGATACTCAACACGAAAAACCTGTCTAGACACAGGGGCTGGAACCACTCTGGGGAATACAAGCTCATTGAAAACAACGCTGCACTCACCGATTAACCCTTGAGCAAATGAACTACTGGCAGAGTAATATTAAGCCAATTCATTGAACAAATACATGCCAGGGGCCTACTGTGTGCCAGATGCTAGGGACACAGAGGTGAGTAAGACAGCCCCTGCTTTCTGGGAGTTCACAATCAATTTGGGAAGAGAAATGTGTACTTAGTAAAATGATAGCTAACACGTAGACAGCACTTACTTTGTGCAAAAGGCTGAAAAGACATCAATTGATTTAACTTCCCCTGCAATTCAGTGAGGAAGAGGCACCATGTCTCCTGTTTTGCAGATGAGATGAGAAAATCACATCCCAGGGAGGTGAAGTGACTTACCTGCGGTTCCAATACTTGTAAGTGGTGACGCTAAGCATCAGCCCCAGGCCAGAAGGCTCCAGAGTCTGTGGACTTGCCTGTTCACCTCTTGGTCTGGGTTAGGCACAGATCTGAGGCATCCAGAGCACCGTGATGGACAGCAAAGGAGGGAATCCAAGCTGCGGCTGCAGCAGAGGCCAGGAAAGACTCCCTGGGAAAACGAGGAGGAAAAGTTGGGATACTAGGGGGTGAGAGGCCACATGTAACCATGATTTCAGAGGGTCTGGGAAATGTGTGTGGCCATTTAGCTTGAACTTCAGGGAAGGAGGGAATGGCTAGTTACAAAGGTTGCAAAAGGCCTTGAATAAAGTTGAGAATCGATCTGCAAGTGATGGATACCTCTTAAAGGTCTGCAACCAGAGCAGTGACAAGATCAGGCTGCAGAGAGGAGCACAGATGGAAGGCAGAGGCTGCAGGTCAAGTACAGCTGACCCTCCTCCCAGCATAATTGAAAATCTGTGTATAAGTTTTGAATTCCCTAAAACTTCACTACTAGCCCTGGTGGATAAAACGTCGGCGTGCAGACTGAAAGGTCCTAAATTTGATTCCGGTCAAGGTAACATGCCCATGTTGCAGGCTTAATCCCCATTTGGGGGTGTACAGGAGGCAGCCAATCAATGATTCTCTCTCATCATTGATGTTTCTATCTCTCTTCCTCTTCCTTCCTCTCTGAAATCAATAAAAATAAATTGTAAAACTTAACTACTACTGTTGACCGGACGCCTTACTGATAACGTAAACAGTCCATTAACACATACTTTTTATGTTATATGTATTATACACCTTATTCTTACAATATAATAAGCTAAAGTAAAAATGTTAAGAAGGTGATAAAGAAGAGACATTTACCATCATTTTTGAAAAAAAATTCCAGCGTAAGTGGACCTATGAAGTTCAAACCCATCTTGCCCAAGGGTCAAAAGTACTTTGGCTGCTACTAAAACAGTATTGATATGATAAAGAGGCTCTGAACTAAGGCAGTCCCATCCTGAAAAGGTCACCAGTTAGATCCCC